GACCATCACGATAAGAGCTCATTTAAAGGCCCAGCAGCAGCTGCAGCAGTAATGGTTTTAAAATATAACAAAAGTGCGGCAACAATTAATGCCAGTGTCAGTCAAACCGTTAACCAGTGAACACCTGCTAATATCGCATACCTTAAATCTTTAGGATTTAAAATAAAAAATTATGAGTATTTTAAACGTAAATGATAGTTTTTTCGGATAATTCTCTTGTAAATGTAGAGAAACATTCCCATCTACCATATAACTCTAGCGCATTCGAGAATAATGATGAAATACGAATTTGCATACCCCAAACTCAAATGTTTACTCATCCTTCTATGAGTTATATTTATATTGAGGGAAAATTACTTAAAGAAAATGGCACTGTATCTACAACGGCAAAATTTGTTAATAATTATTTTAATCATTTATTTAGTGAAATTCGATTGGAAATTTCGGGAAAAACTGTAGATCGTGTAAGAAATCCTGGAATTACTACAACCCTTAAGGGATACACATCATTTAATAAAAATGATGTTAATCGTTTAAAAAATGCCGGTTGGAATATTGAAAGCCCAGATTGCTTGGTGGACGTAAACGACATCGCAACCGGTGAATTTAATCTGTGTGTACCCTTAAATATGATTTTGGGGTTTGCCGAAGATTTAAAAAAAAATATTATTAATTTAAGACAAGAATTAATTTTAATTCGAAGTAATTCTGATCATAATGCAATTTATAATAGCGCTGCCAATGAAAAAAATAAAATTACAATTAACAAAATTGTTTGGAAAATGCCCCACATATCGGTGGCTGATGTTGAAAACCTAAAACTACTAGAACTTATTGAAAATGGAAGAGAATTGGAAGTGGCTTTCAGAAATTGGGAATTAATAGAATATCCTTTGCTGCAAAAAACAAAAAACCATACGTGGAACGTAAAATCGGCCACGCAATTGGAAAAACCACGTTATGTTATTGTAGGATTTCAAACAGATCGTAAAAATAGTTTTTTATAAAAATAGCAGTTTATTCGATAATTGTACTTTAAAAAATATAAAATTATATTTAAATTCAGAAATTTACCCCTACGATAATTTGAATATTGATTTTGACAAAAATCAATATTCTATGTTGTATGAAATGTACTTGAATTTTCAACAATCATATTATGATCGCGAGAATGAGCGTCTTTTAAATCCAAAAGAGTATAAAAGTATTGCCCCTGTAGTAGTAATTGATTGTTCAAGACAAAATGAAATTCTAAACTCCGGCACTGTAGAAGTTCGTTGGAATTCGAAACTACTAAAGACATGCCAGACAATACTTCAGCCTTTTGCTTAATATTGCACGATCGCCTTGTACATTACACCCCACTTAGCGGCATAATTCGCGATATATAAGAGAAAAACTAGGAAAATTGAATTTAGTTTTATTAAGACCAAATTAATACCTTAACCATGAAAAATTTTGTTTTCGTTGATTTTCAAGGATTCCAATTTAAACAGTTAAAGTTTATTTGTAAAGAATTGTCAATTAAGCATACGAGCGAAGAAACAAAACATTTCATTTTTAATTATAATACTGAGTACTCTTCGTTAACGGAACAATTTCGAAAACAGGTGGATTTTCTAACAAAAAATATTCACGGACATAAATGGGCAACTTGGACAAACGCCAATGATGTTTATTGTTACTCGGAAATTAAAAAAATATTTAATAGAGAAATAAATGATAGAAATATTGAAATTATATTTGTAAAGGGACCTCCAAAAATTGAATGGTTAAAACCATTCATTATGCCACACATAAATATTGTAGACTTGGACAGTTTAAATTGTCCAAGTATATTAGAATTAAAAATTAAAAATAAAAATAGGCAACATTGTAAAAAACATTTATACAATCATTTAAATTGTACTAATGAAAATGTACTTTTATTAAGAAATTGGTATTTCGACAATGTTGCCTCCCCCCACTCTTAAAATAGTTTGTGTATATAGGTTAAAAAATAAAATAAATATCCTCAGTAATATTAATATTTAAGAAACTTCAACATGTCTGTTTATTATGTGAGCTTTGGTATAGTTAAACGATTGAAGAAGTTATTGAATTGGCAAAATGTTTAACTACATCTGCAACACCTCTCGATGATTGGTATGTATTGGAAGAAGAATGGTGTACAAGCTTGGATGATTCAAAATATTTATTGGAAGAACAATTAAAACAAAATCAACAACAATTTACTAATACCGAACAAAATCAGCAATATCAATTAATTGATACAAATGTTGAAGAGAACATATTCGATGTTTCAACTGATTTATTGGAAAAGCAGTTCCAACAAAATCAGCAACAGCAATCTACTGAAGAATACTGCTCTTATAGTCAAATGTTTTAACAAAAATATTTAAAAAATAAAATATTTGAAATAATATATGCGTTTATTATTTAACCTATCCTTCAACAATTAATTGGTGAGGTTAAAAATAAAAATATTAATTAATATTCAAGAAATTTATTTTTTTACAAATTATTAGATTAGGTTTCACTTCTTTTTTTTTCTTTTAATTGACGTACAATTATTTTGAAACCTTTCACCTGCTGCCATTTACTACTACTAGGCGAATTTTTTCAAATAATCTAACCATTTTAATTTTTTCCTCATATCGATTAATTTGTCTTTTTAATGCTTGCAAATCTTTATTAAATTTTAGTTTTCTTTGCAATAAAGATTCTTTGCAATCCATTGCAGGCACTGTATACACGTGAGCTTTTAAATTAAAACCAAATTATATTAATTTTATTTTTATACCCTTTTTTTAGGCTCCCCTCCCAAGTCTGTCTGTTTTATTTAAGGATATTGCGGACAAAAAAAAAACAAAATATTAATCATACATAATTTTTTATTTAATAGAAATCACACAATATTTGTATTCAATAAGAATGAATTTCAGTAATTGCACAATCCCTTGCCTTTATAGTTCTTTTGTCAATCAAAACTACATACAATGTTTTGCCTGCTTTGGTATTGTACTCCACTATTGCTTCTTCATTGAAAAAATCATTAAATTTCTTGGGAATCCATACCCACCCATGTTCGCCAGCAATTACAGCCCTGCCGATTACGGTATCTTTAGATGACACTGCATTTATTGTATATTTCTTTTGTATATCCAAAAGTCCAAAAGTTTCTTGATGTTGGCTTGTTTGTTTGCCTTGTCCAATAATGCTCTGTTCATCTGTTGAGATATAAAATATTTACTATAAAAAATAAATAAAAACTGGAGTAATACTCACGGCTGATGGTAGACTTGCTATTAGATTTTGATGCACCTAATAAATATTTAATCACATATAGTTTATATAGCAACAGCGTTCAGTCTTCCGTCCGACCTATTATTAAAACCAACAAAGGCCTCTGAAGCTCCTATCTTCCATTGTTAAAAGTGTTCGTCTTTCAGCGTTTTTCGCTGCCCAAGCAAAAATTCCAATAATTAAAAACAATATAACAGGTTTCGAATATTAATGAGCTAATCAAAAGTTAAATAACAAATGAGTCATTTAATGAACAAAAACAAAATATGTTTGCAAGGTTGCGGCCTCCCAATGGGGCCTCTAGGGAAGTGCGTCTCAGCGTGTGAGAAAAACAACGCCAGTGTGGCGCCAGAATAAATTAAAATTACGAAATGTTGTGCAATTACTAGACTTAAGAATCAACCGGGCAAGTGGCGCCACCACGAGTCATAATTTTACATTTCCCAGTATTACTTTTACAATTGGTTGGCGGTCATTTTGAATTCAACAAGCCCCGCCCATCATTATTTCTGCAATTGGTTGGTGGCCGGCGGCCATTTTGAATTTCCCGCCCATCGTGTATCGCCAACGAGTGCACAGCCCAGCATGTGGCGCCACCATGCGGCCGAAATGTGAAGTAGTGAGCCAAAAGCCCCATAGCTACTCTACTAAACTCAATTGTAAGATTTAACAAATAAAAAGTACACTTTATTTTAATATACGTACACAACATTAAAAACTAATTTTGCGTGCTTTTTTTTCTGCAAATGCATCTACAATCTTCTCAAAATTTATTGATTGTGCAAAGGTATTCTCAATTGCCAATATTGCAAGTCCTGATAATCTTTCGTTGCTCATAGAAGAACGCAAATAATTTTTTATTAGCTTTAACTTGCTAAAACTTCTTTCACAACTGGCGGAAGTTGTTGGAAGTGTACAATATATGCGCAAAGCAATACAAATATTTGGAAATGCATCTTCCAAATTATTTGCATAAATCCTCTGCAACAAACTTAGAGCACTCATGTCTGTAATGATATTGGCATTTTTAAATATATTTAAAAATTGGTCCTGAAAGACAACCAGCTCCTGACAAAAATCTGTGGCATTTAAATCTTTGCTGTATTTTAAAGCAAGATCGAGACCATGTTTTTTCAGTTCCTTTGATGAAAGCTTTTTTAGTTCTTTTCCATTTAAGAATGAGAAGTAGGAATCAAGAGTCTTGATACTCTTAATTCTAGTAGAAATTTCAGTTACCAGTCTGTCAAATACTAAATTTAGATCTTTCGTAAAATTCTGATTTGCAGTTAACATCCTTGATTCATCTTCTGAACCCTCATCAAACATTCTTTTTCTTTTGGGTACACGTTTGGATAGCAAAACCGGTTCCACATTATTTTTTTCTGCAATTAACTTTGCCTCCTTTTTCCAAGTTTCAATCGGTGTCTTCCGCATTCGATTTAATGTTTGAATTAGCCCATCCATTAGGTCAATCGAGAGCGATAGCTGTATATCTTTTTTCTGAATCTCATTGTTTACTCTGTTAACTTCACGAAGTATATTGTTCCAAACAATGAGATTAAGAATAAAATTAAAATCTGCCAAATTTTTATGAAGACTGCTCGCTTCAAACTTTGTATCAGGGGAGCACATTTCATCGAATTTCATTTTTTCCAATATTCCAACAATATCTATAAGGTTGTTGGTAAGAGCTGTTACGGCCTGATACTTTGCAGACCACCTGGTTTGGCTAGAGCCCTGCAGCTTTGTCTTGGTGCATTTCTTTAAAAGACACCATCGACTTGTCGAACTTACAAAAAAAGTTAAAAATTTACTGGACCACTCCAAATAATTTTACTGCTTCTGTAGAGGCTAGCGCGGCATGCATTCCCACAAGGTTTAACGAATGCGCAATACAAGGCACAAATTCGGCCAGTTCATTTTGTTGCAAAATTCTTGCTTCAACACCTTTATGGATTCCAGACATGTTGGAGCCATTATCATACGATTGGCCACGGCACTGCTGAATATCTAACCCATCGTTTCTTAACTTTTCCAGAATTTGACTAGTCAAATATTCCCCTGTCTTTCCCTCTACCTCGATAAAGTCAATGAAGGTTTCTTTAATTGAACAACTTTCAGTTTCAATTTCGACGTACCGAATTACTTGACTCATTTGCTCGGTGTATGAGGTGTCAGGGGTACAGTCAAACATGATGGTAAAATATTTTGCTTTCTTAATTTTGTAGAGAAGTTGGTCTCTGCATGTGTTACCCAATAGCTCGATTACCTCGTTTTGTATGGTCTTAGACAGATAGGATGTTTGCCCTTTTTTAATATTTGATAGAACACTGGTAAGTGAAGGATTATACTTTGCCAATAGAATCATTAGATTTAAAAAGTTACCCCGACTATGGGAATGACTCTGTTCCAAAATATTTTCAATGCTTTCATCAGATCCGCGAAATTCCAGACAATTCGTAGCTAAATACATCACAGCATCAATCACTGCAAAGAGGACCTCTTTCCACTTGCGTTTTTCAAATTCTATTGACTTCTCCAGTTCCTTGTCGATGCCTTTGCACGTTTTCATTGCTATAGATCTGGTTTTCCATATTATTTCGCATTGTTTGTGGTTGAGCGATCTTTCATGTTGATCAATCCTTTCTGATGCCTTTTTCCAATTTATAAAACCAGTAGTTACCAATGTAGATGTCACTTGACTACTGGGACCACTGGTCCGACTACTGAATACTTTGCAATAAGCACAAAAAAGGGCGTTTTTAGGTTTTGAGTAGGTTAACCAGCTTCTTTTAATGGTTTTCCCATTGGAAAGTATTCTGTACCACATAGATTTAGTCAAGTGCCTACCCTCGCGTTCGGTCTTGGAGAAATCAATATCAGGAAAAAACGACGAAATTTCTTTGATAAGATAAGCCCGCTGTGTGTCTTCAAGATTTTCAGAACTCGGCCAAGTACTTGGATCAGCTGGATTAATGGCAACAGTAGATGGACCAGGATCTGATGAAATATGTTTATCTGGTTCATTTATATCCTTAAATTAAAAATAGTTTTAATTAAAACCTAACTGGTATTGGATACGTTGCACTAACTGTCAATTTAACTGTCAATATGAGATTTTAAAAATAAATAATTGAACCTAACAAAATTTGAAACTCATAGAAATAGATTTTTTTTACTCGAAAGCCAAAACAGCAAAACTTACCCTGCTACAAATAGACTCATTTTCATCTGATTGCTTTAAATTTTCTGTATTTATGACTCGTACAGTAGATGGGCCAATATCTGACGAAATACAATGTTCATCTGCTTCAATCATATCCTGAACCATTAGATACAATTAAAATCTAATTGGACCCTTATGGGTTGCATTAAAGAACTGCGATTTCAATTTTTAAACTTGAAAAAATTTAAAAATGTACACAGAAAGAAAAACTGTACGTAAAATTAATAAACTGCTGTCTTCAATTTTTTGTACATTAATATTATGTATTGGAGATTATTACAATGCTTTTTCATCATAACTTTATAACTAAGTACATTGAAACAATAAACTAGTCAACATTAATTGATTAATGCAAAACATCAGAAATTAATTATTTCCTTCATCAATATAATATAAAAATTTATTGAATTAACTATTGACGATCATTAAACGATGTTCTTTATCTTTAAATATTAAATTTTTCGTCATAGATCCATGAATAGCAAAACATAAAAGTAGATAATAAAGGAGATTTCTGGCTCACTTAACCACGAAATGGACATTATAAGAGTTCTGGCTTACTTAAACACCAAATTAACATTATGGGAGATCTACCTCACTTTTAAACATTAAATTAATTCTGGCTTACTTATATATGAGTACATTAGATGCAAAACTTTTGCAAATTTTTAAAAAATATATGTATATATTATATATATAAATATTGTATATATTAAATATATAGAAAGTTTTCGCTCAGACAGATTGATGGTATAAATTATTATTATTATGGATAAAACAAATTTTAAATTTTCAAATTGATGAATAAACAAATAAAATAATTTTAAGTAACAATTATAGTTATAATAATTTAACAATAACAATATGTGCGTGTGTGTAACATAAAAAGCGTAGAAAATCAATTTGTATTATATATAATATATACGTTCATATCATAATTAATAAAAGAAACAAAACGTGCGAAATAAATAAATAAACAATAAAATAATTGACTTGCTTTTTGTACTTTAGAAAAAGTCAAAAACTATTAAATAAAACGGTTTAAAATATTACAATTTTCGACCCTTAGATATTTTTTCACACACATTTAAAAAGGGGAAAAAAGGAAGGGTCCCATACCTGCATATTTTTTCATACACACCCAAACACACACACACATTTAATAAAAAGTATTGTTAATGGTTTTTATTAGACGCGTTGAGGGGGCCCTCATTTGGGATCATGGTTTGTGTTATTCATACGGGTCATCTCTATTAAGAGATCGATTTTATTATAGACGCCTTAACATTCTTTTAAACACATTGCTTGCATATGATTTTAATTAAATCTTAAATGATTAAACAAGCTTATATTGAGAGACGAATAAGGTTCAATTAACTGTTGGCAATATCTGGGTTATTAATTAAATGTTTTAAATTGAAGACACACATCAACAACGCCTTTAAATTTTTTTTTAAATATTTGATTTGGGAATAAATTTCTTACTTAAATATGTATGTTTTAGCTAAGTTTTGTTATATTTAAAATGAGTCTCGACAAATTCGGACATCACACTTATTTTAATGTTAAAAAAATACTGATAAATTTTTAATTACTGAAGATATAGATTTTCAAAATTTTAAACTTACTAATGTGAAATTACCTGAACAAGATAATGATGCTGTGAATAGAATATTTGTTGACAATTATTTCAAATCATATCATAAAGGTGTTAGTAATTCCTTACAATCTGTAATAGATAGTACAGACAAAGAAAATTTAAATATTAAAAAAAGTATTGAAAATTTAAAAAATCAATCTAATATTAATAACAAAAACATTAAATCAGCAGACACTAATTTTAAATCAGTAAAACAACAAATAATAAAATTAGAGAAAGACTTAAAAAGTAACGTAACTAAAATACAAAAAGATTTTAAGGAATTATCAAATAAAACTAATGATAATGTTAAAAAGAACTTAAATCAATTTAAAACTTTGCAAGATAAAATAATAAATGATGTTTTAGAAAAAACAACTAAAAATATATTGGATAATATACAACGAATTGAAAATTTACAAAAAAAACTTGATGTATATGAAAATATTGTAAAAAGAAACGAAAAGATATTGGATCAACAAATAATAGATACTTAAATTAATAATGCATCTTTTAATGCAACATTTGATGATTTTAGAATTCACCTGGAAGAATTTCTTAAAGCTATTAAATATTTCGAAACACAATCGGAGTCTAATAATGCTTCTTATGTAAATATGTTTAATAATTTGGAGAAACGTATAGAGATGTTAGAAACAAAATCGGCAAATCCTTAAAATGGATATAATAAATAAAATTTAATTATAAAATGCATAAGGTACTCTTGCAATTTATTGTGCCAAATAAAATGTGTTTTTTGGAGAAGGGGTAAGATAGTAGGTATATAAAGCTTGTTTACTTCTTGATATTCATATAATCGTTTATATATTTTTTAGTTAAACAACAACTCAATAACAATATCAAGATGAGCAATATTTTGACCAAACTTAACGGTTGCAAGCATCTTCCATTCAGAATTACAAGAAGACAAGAAATACGAACTGGTTAATCTTGAAGTTTTAGATGGTAAATATGGAGAATGTATTTTAGTTAAAGTTAAAGAATTTCCAAATTCTGTAATATTACCAAAACGATTTTCAAAGTTAATTGGTGATATTGAAAAAATTAACAAAGAAATTCAAAGAAAAAAAATTTATATGATTATGGAAGTTAGTGAAGGTTACAATGATGTAAAATTTGAATAAGTAAAAACTTATACTTATATTTAATATTAATAATAAATATATTTTATATTTTTGAAATATTTAATCGCTAATATTAATGAATATATTTTAGGATTATGTAATCAAAAATATTGTAGTTTAATTTAGTCTTAGGAATTTAAAATTATTTTCATTGTATTAATTAACTGTCATTGTCGGTGGCGTTGGTGGGAATAATAGTATATAAGTCTGTTTTTAAATTGTAAGTTTATTAAATTCAAACTGTTATTTGAATTTGAAACAAACAAAATGTCTGACGTCAGTGAAATTTTTATCGAAATGAAAAGAGTACAGCGAGAAAGGGAAACCAACAGGACGTTCAACGACCTGATGCAGAAACCGTACCCCTGGTTGGAGGAACTAATTGCATTTGATTTCTATGGAATTTTTTGGTTAATTCAGGGTCGATGGGGGGAGGATCACCCAGCGAACAATTGGGGGCATGAGGTGCACGAACGCAATAAAGATTTTAGGTGGCTTTATAATATTTAAATAAAAAAATTATATCCACATTTTAAATTTGTTTTATTTTAACCTTTTCTGTCGATTATAATAATAAAAAAAAAAAGATAAAATAATAGTTTTAGGAAGAGTCCCCTTCCATGAATACGTCGTCTAAAGATAGGTAGGAGAAACTCTATATAATACTATTACTATTAGTTTAAGTTTTAGTTTGAGAGAGCACATAAAAAATGTCTGCTTTTAAAATTAATCGAGTTGACCAAAATAAAATATATCGTAAAAATCACATTTATAAAAGGATTTTTGAATTGAAACAGTCAGTGACAAAACAACAAACAATATTAAATAAAAAAATTACATATTATAAATTAATTCTTGCATTAATGAAAATTCAAATATAAAGAAACTTGTTTAGACTTGTTGTTTCAGACTGAGATGGATGGTTGAATGGCTTTAATAGTAGAAAGGGTAAATATATAAATATAATATATATATATATATATATATATACAGTGTGTCCACGGATAGAGTTCGGAAGAAGAAAAACTTTTTTATTTGTGGGTTTAGAAAAAAAGTCACTCTTTATAAAAACGTCTGCTAGTGTTGAAACTACAATTTTGAATACCAAATTTACGATTACTATACAGGGTTAGCCAGAAACAACATTTTTATTTTTTTGGATTTAGATTTTTTTCGAAATTTTATGAAAATATTTTCAAAACCGTGATTTATTACACTAATTGTGCAAAAAAGTCTAATAAACAATTTTCTTAAAGTGGTTAATTTCAAATCTACTATTAAAATAATAAAATATCAAGTAGCCTGTTCTAAATAAATTAAATGTTTTAGTTTCTTTGCATCTTTCAAATTGTTGATAGTTGTTTGATAATTTTCTTATAAATTTGCATAATAGTGAAATTAGAAAATGCTAACGTTAGAACAAAGAATTTATATTGTGCGAAGTTATGGTTTAGGACATGAGAAAAGCTTTATTACAGTTCTTCGAGAATTCCATGAGATATGGCATGATGTTCCTCTCACGGACAATGGTTTAAAAAAATTATAATAAAATTCATGAGAACTGGTAGTGTTTCAAATAAAAAAAGGGAGAAAAAAAGTATGATGACTGTAATGACAATGGATTCAGTTAGAAATTTTCCCAAATTGTCTTTAAGAAAAAGGTAATGTGAGTAAATCTCTAGTAGGAAAAATATTAAAATTCAATAAAATTCTTCCGTACAAACCTAAATTAAATCATTTTCTGGAAGAAAATGACGACATGAAGAATTTGGATTTTTGTTTGTTGATAGAGGAACCAATCCTTAGACAAAGAAGTTTTGTTAATAATATTATTTTCTCGGACGAGGCAACTTTTACCACAAACGGGGTAGTTAGTTCGCAAAACTGTCGCTTTTGGAGCCGCGACAATCCTAATTTTCGTATCCGCTCTAGACAGTATTCACGCAAAGTTAACGTGTGGTGTGCTATTTCTTACAATGAAATAATTGGACCATATTTTATTGAAAACAATTTAAATCAACACACTTATTTGCATCTTCTGAACAATTTTTTTATGATCATTTGCAAGATATACCTTTAGCTGATCGAATAAAATTACATTTCCAACAAGACGGCTGTCCCGCTCATTTCACGATAATTGTGCGTGATTGGATAAATAATCAGTTTGGGAACAAATGGTTTGGAAGGTATGGTCCAAATGAGTGGCCACCTAGGAGTCCCGATCTCACAATTATGGACTTTCATTTGTGGGGATATCTGAAGCAACATGTGTATAAAACCAATTTTAATAATAACGTAGATCTCTTGAAAGAAAAAATAAG